AAAACCTATCGCCCTCTTCCACACACAAAGGAGCATAGTGGGTAGCAGTGAAGAAAGAGCAGCTGAAAGACCTCCGGTGTGGGGAGACTCTCACTCAAGTCTCAGGAAAACACGATCCCCCCAGTAACTCACGAGAGACCGTCCTTGCTGCATTCTCACGAGGTTTATTGACAGGTACCAGTGCACTGGGGCCAAAACTCAGAACCCACGCAGGGGAGGAGTTTGACCCCGAATAGCTGGGAGAAGGGGTTTTTAAGGGAAGAAACCACAACCCAGTAATCCAAGTCATTGAAAATTCCGGAAATACCAGTGATAATCACAAGGGGGTAACTCCCTGTTTCTCAAGATTATTCTCAAGATTACAATCTAACTTTATCTTCAGCTAGTTCCTGAAACAGAGTCACTGAACTGGCTAATCCTAGATTTTTGGCTCTTCTCTTCCTGCTAGGGGGGTCTGGATTTATCTGGGTCTTTCACAGCAATGAAGTCTTGGAAAGCTCTTCCTGGTTCTGGTGAGGTGGAGAGCTCTGAGTGGGTGCTGTGATGAGGAACTTGAGTAGTCACAAAAGCACATGGTACAGAGAGAAGCGGCTGGAGGGCTGACTCAGCAACACGGCATGCTTCTGGGCTTCATCCCTGCAAGTAAACAAACAAAAAGAAAAAATTACAGCTGGAGTATCGGAATTTAGGTGTTCAGGTCACATCACTTCACTGGTGTTTGAGCATCTCAAAGAACTTTGTCTCATTAGAAAGTTCTCTCCAAATTCTGGGTCTTGCAGAGAGCAGAAAGTACCCTCATATATGGCGGGCAAGAACTGTCCATAGGAGGCTGGATCCACACGACTCAGGTTACACTCACTGAAGATGATATTAGGCTCCAAGTCTTGCCCCGAGATCCTGGGCTCCAACTCCAACACAGGCTGGTCTAAAACAGTGTCCTGCTACCTAGTAAGGGTGAGCAGGAGTGAAGACCAAGACAAGGTCAGTCTCCACTGGATCTTCTTGTCCTGTGTTTTAGGAAGAACAGGGAATTGACCTTAGGAATCTGGGTTTTATTTTGACGTCTTGCTTGCATTGAGAAGTACCTTCGGGTCAGTAAAGCTCATTTCTGTGTCTATCTATGAAGATGTCTCCAAAGAAGATTGACTAAGGAGAGGAGACACTGGGTTGTGGGGCCCATCATATAGGCTGAGGGCCCCAAAAAGAGCAAAAGAGGAAGCCAGCCAGCATAAGCACCCCTGTTCTCTTCTTCCTTGCTATGGGTCTGATGAACAGTTTTCTGCTACTGTGCCCTTCTGCTGATACACTTCATCACAGACCCAGAAACACGTAGCTGGCCAGCTTGACGTAGAGACATCTGAGGCTCTGAGCCGGCATACACAGTTCTTCTCTTTAAGTTGTTTATGTTGGGTATCATGTCATGCACAGAAATCACAGAACTGGACGGGAACTAATCGAAGCTATTCTTTTAACTTGAGTAAGCATGTATGTAGTTTGGGCTCAATCAGGGCTTTGACTTTAGTTGAATCGTTTTTCCCTTTGATTCTGGGTATTTGAGCTAATTTCCTGACCTTGAACTTCAAAGCCTACCTCCACTGTAGCATCAATAAAATGGAGATTATATAGTAGTGTCTGTGAGAATTAAATAAGACTCCTGACACCTATAGGCTTTTGACAAATGTGCCTATTAATAGGCTTTCTGTCCCCCTCCCCCATAATAGGTTTCTCTGAGGACACTGTAAGCTAGATGAAGTCAAAAAAGTGCAACAACAGGTTTATTGAGAGCAACTCCTGGGTGGATTCTCCAGCGTCAGAGATTAGGGCCAGAGAAGTTGCCCCCCTGAAATAAAGTGGGGAGATTTTATAGGTTGTAGGCGAGGGTTGATGATGAGTTTGCCACAAGCTGGTTTTGTGTCCAAGTACTGTCAAAACCTAAGCCCTTAGATGGGGACGGGGACAGTTGACAACTCAGGTGGGGGTGGGGTGGAAGCTGTAATGACCACTGAGAATTTGGAACTAGGCTTTTTGGTGCCTTTCCTTTGTTCAGAGAATCTCCGAGCGACAGGGTTTGGAGTGGTGGTGGTGGGGAGATGGGACTTTCAGGATTGTGCAGAGAGGAGTGGAAGGCTCAGGAAACGTGGAGGCGGGAGGGAAGAGCAGAAAGAATGACACAGCCAGAGAGTGCGACAGAGGGCTGTGAAGTGCTGCTCTGAGTTATGACAGGACGGCCACACTGACAACCTCACAGCAGCTGGGGGGAAGTCCACGAGAACAAGCCAGGCAATGACTCCAGCGTGGGTAGAGGAAGGATTGCAAGGCCCCACCCCAAGCAGAGGAGACACTGCAGGTGATGACGGCTGGGCAGGAGAGTCATTTTTCTTTGGGGGTGTGGCCACTGCCAGGTTGTTCGTGCTCTGGAGGATGGCCCTAGACCCTGTGCAAATGAGCGGTACTCCAGAGTTAATTGGAGGCAATGAATACATTGAGGAGAGAGAAAAGAAGGAGATGGAAGTTGGTAGGGAGATGTGTGGGGGGAGGTGGGAAGGAAATTGAAAGAGGGAAGTAGGAGGGAGGAACAATTATAGCACAGGTATAACCTCTTAAATGATAAAATGTTTTAGAAGCCTAGGAGGAGAACTTTTTTTTTCTCTTGGATTTTTTGAGGTATTTAAATTTGTCTATGTATCACATACCTTAATTATTTATTGAAGGAAAGAAGGAATGAAAGGGGGAAAGAAAGAAATTAAGGATTAATTATTTTCTTTTTTTCATAAAACTTATATTAGCGGGCCGGTGAGAAGGCTTAGTGAGTAAAGGCACTTGCTGAGCAAATGTGATTTGAATTCAATTCCAGGGACCCCACAAAGTCATTCTCTGACCTCCACAAACAGTCTGTGAGCATATACATACATACAACTAATATATTAAAAATAAAAAAACAATTACATAGGAAATTAAAAGTGAGTGATCAATTTCATGGTCATATGTTCTAAGTTCGCGTCAGCTAAGAAAGAAAACACCGCTTGCTACTGCTGTGTCATTTCAGGGAAGCTATTTCTGCTCGTTTCATAGCAAAGTGTTAAAAATATGAAAATGTTTGCAGCGGAGGTAAAACTTGCCATTTGAAAGCATTGTGTTGAACAGACTGTTGGTTGCACGTTGTCAAACTGATTTTTGTTTGCTGTGAAACAGAATTTAATCTCTGACCTCAAGTTTTATAGTGTAATGAGCTCACCGAATACACCGAGCTGCAGATTTTCGTGGTGCTGTGTATGATTTGTGTACTGGCCTGAACTCTGGAAGTCATTGCAGCTGTCATTGGTGAAGAACAGGAAAAAAGGGGGCTTTGGGGAGCTTAGGCTTCTAGCTGATGGAAGGGGAAAAAACCTCAAATGCTAGATTATTTAGAGACCGTCTAAATTGAAGTGGCTATCTTTGACATATTTGTAAGTTTCAGTATTCCTAGAGATTTGTCTTTGGGGACCCAAAATATGCATCAGTAACTGGAATGGTCTGCCAGAAAGATTACTGAATTGGGAGCCTGGAGATCAACAAATGTTCCTAATAGATACTTACTGTGTGTCTTGAGTTATGCTAGATGTCAATGTCCCAAACAGTCAGCACTGGAGGGGATGGTGGAGGGACCAACCCAGTCCTCAAGGAATCAACAGCCTTACTGGGGAGCCAAGGGCAATAATTGAGAAGGGATAAAAGACTGTATGATTAAGGGCTAAGTCATGTGTTAGGGCTGTAAGTGTAACAGGAAATCAGAGGTAAAAGTCACAGCAGACTTTTGTAGATTAGGGGAGTGCTCAGCTAGAGCTCAAAGACTTAGATGCAGAGAATATACAAGCTATCCTGGTTCTCTTGGGCTTCGCTTAAAAAGAAAAAGAAAGGTCTTTGTCTGCCATCAATTTACATAAAATCCCTTTTCTTAACTCGTATTTAACCAGTGAATGGGTCTGATTTTTTTTAAATCCAAGCTTGCTTTGCTGGTAATACCCTAGCCGAGGAGTTCTCACTTCATGCGTAGATTTTGATTTAAGATCACACAGCAAGTACAAAGTCCTTTTTGTCTGATGCTGTATGGTGATAGCCACAGTTGGAAATGCTAACCTGATCTCTTCTAGTAGCTCACAGACCACTGTAAACCGTGATTGAGGCTGGAGAGACAGCTCAGCAGTTAAGGATGCCAGCAGATATTTTTCTCCTCAGAGAACCCAGATTCAGTTCCCAGCACCTATATGGTGGCTCATGACAACCTGAAACTCCAGTTCCTGGGTTTCCACTGAGGATCCAAGGCAAGCACCAGGTACACAGACATACACACATAATCAAAACACTTGTAAACAAAAGCTAAACAAAAAAAATTTTTAAAGGTAATTATTATTTATACTGATATTTATTGTGGAAGTTTTTGCTTGTTTGTTTTTCGAGACAGGATTTTTCTGTATAGCCCTGGCTGTCCTAAAACTCACTCTGTAGACCAGGCTGGCTCAAACTCAGAGATCCACCTGCCTCTGCCTCCTGACCTGTAGAGAGCTGCGTGGAGCTGCACCTTAAAGATGGAGCTGGCTTCCGCCCTCCACGATCCCTAAAGTGAGTGCTCTCTGACAAACAACTCCTTATTTGGCTAAGGCCAGACTCTTGCAATCATCACCCGATGATCGCAAGCTGCTTGCATATGCGTGGACCAATGAACGGTGCCCACGTAGCTATCCAGGGTTGGTAGCCCAGGCCTACTTAAGGGCTGGGAGAGGTTTTTGCCTGGGGAGAGAAAGAAAAGATCGCGATTCTGTAACAAGGACCTGAATAAACTGCTAGCGAGAAGAGTTCCAGTGTTGCATCATCCTTGCTGGTCGAGGCCATTGGGACACTGACCTCCTGAGTTCTCTGATTAAAGGCATTCGTCACCATGCCCAGATGTGGATTTTTAAAAAAAGTTTAAGTCCCATTTTATTTTTCAAGGTGTTTTCTTCTGTCTTTATGAAGCTGCCTCTTTACATGGGCTTTGGTGGAGGTCGTGGCGCAGGACCAGCAGATATAAACCGTGGTGGGGGTGTCTGGTCCTTCCCAGTTTCCCGAAATCGATTCCTGACTACCTTGCTATTGAAAGACCCCAGCTTAGCTGCTGTAACGCCATTTTGCAAGGCTTTGACAAAAACAAATATAAGTGCAGGGTGAGGTCAGGGCCCCTAGCTGCAAAACAGGATATCTGTGGCCATACATCTGTACTGGGAGGGGAACCAAACATTGTGGGGGGGACACCACATGTGCCCCTCGCCTCAGTTCCAACCGACCAATGGGATCCCTGTAACCATGCATCTGCTTTTGTATGCCTGCTTCTGCCGCCCTTTTTCCTATAAAAAGACCTTCACCCAGTCTGCAGGCACACAAGTCCTCCGAATAGACTTTGCCACCCGCAGGTACCTGTGTACACCCAATAAAGAAACCTCTTGCTGTTTGCAGCCAGTGGTGTCTCCTCCTGAGGGAAGGTCCTCTCTGAGGGTCTTTCACTATGAATAGCACAGCTCACACAGCAATGCAGCTTGACATAGAGTTTGGGGAGCACATAAGTGTTAAAGACACTTGCTTCGGATATGTCCCTGACTGCAGCGGCTGCTACAATGTTCCGAATGACGAACTTATTAATGGCCTTGTCCTTGGGTACGCAGCGGGCGTAGTTAGTACAGCGAATTGACCACACGTGGCCGCGGCCCTTTCTGGCACGACTGTTGTGTTTCTCCTTTTTTTGGTCATCTTGGAGCCAAGTCCCGAAAGCATGGATGTTGCTTTTTAACATAATATTTAATTACATCCTTGAGAATTCTATTCAATGTATTCGCAACACATTGGTTTCCTGCTTCTCCCCCTAACTCCTTCCAGACCTACCTCTTGCATCTCTCCTCCCCTCACAACGTTTTTTTTTTTTTTTAAATTTTGGGTGCTTACATTCTCAGGACTCAGGAGAATCCTGGAATGTGATTGACCTATCAGGGGCCACACCCCTTAAAAAACCCAACCCTCCTTCCCTACCAAGCTGTTGGCTATTCATAGCGCCCCTGGGAGGGGAGGAGACTTTTGAATCTCAACCTCTTCCAGGCTAGGACTTTCCCCAGGACTTGTGCTGCTCTTGGGAGTCCGAGAGAGCAGTGGTCCTGTCACACACAGAAGATGCTGTTTGGATTCTGCCCTGGCAGGGGGCGGTCCTCTTGTTCTCATGAGTGGGGAGTTAGAGGATTTTCTTTGTATTGCCTCTTTTTCTGACAATGATGATTTATTGTTTGTATAATTAACAATCAATTCACCAACTTCATCATCTTCAAAAACTAGCAGGGCTTATATACAATACACTAGTAATAAGAAAGACTAAAAAGTTGTTGAAATTTAATGGCACTGATGCAGGTCAGAGGACATGGGGATAAATGAACGGCTGTCCAGCAGATAGGGGTGAAGCAGAGCTATCCGCCGCCGATCTCTCCCTGGGGCTGAGCGAGATGGAAGTGTCACAACCCAGACCTCCCCACTGGCCACCGGAGAGAAACACACACTGAGCTGGGAGTCTGTTGAAGTAGGATATCACTTTATTGTAACAGGGCAGGAACTTATATAGGGCTGAGGTAGTGGCTGGAGTCTTGGGATGGGGTGAGGTGAAGTAAGGAATAAGGGCCAATAATATCCTGCCACATCAGTGGTGGCTGGGCAGAGGCAGGCCTAGGTCAGGCTGTACTGAGTCACTCCCCAAATTTGAGTTAGGCTCAGGAAATTGCACTCATGAGGCCCAACAAGGTGGAGACCAGGAATGACGGGACAGTTTTCATATGAAGCGTTTGTGTCTCCTTCCCCTGAATACATTATCAGGATGGATTCCAGACCCAACTGAATAATACTTTCCCATCAATCTGTCCTTCAGCTAATACTGATCATGCAAAATAGGAACCAGTGAGGCTTCCCAAGCTAACGTGGGTCACTAGTTTGAAACAATATGCAATGCTTGTGTGCTGGACATGGTGGTGTGCACAAGGAACCCGAGCACTCAAGACATGGTGGTGTGCACGAGGAACCCGAGCACTCCAGACATGGTGGTGTGCATGAGGAACCTGAGCACTCCAGACATGGTGGTGTGCATGAGGAACCTGAGCACTCCAGACATGGTGGTGTGCATGAGGAACCCGAGCACTCTGGTGGCAAAGGCAAGTGGAAGAGCAGCCAGTGCCCTAGTCCACTGAGCCATCTCACCAGCCCCAGGAAGGTATGGCTTTAGCTGCTCTATTAGAACCTAGTGTCTTGGTACCGACATTCTGTGGACCGCTCCTGTATGCCGACTGGGGCTTATGTTGAAAAGGACTGTATAATACTCAGAGGTAACCCAGGGAATCTTTTAAAAAATATTATTTTCGATGTGTTTGTGAATTCATACACACACACACACACACACACACACACACACGGTATCTTGTGTGTGGAGAACAAAGGAGAACCCTAGGGACTCAGTTCCTTCTTGTTACCGTGTTGCTTCGTGGGATCCAGGATCCAGCTTCAGGCACTTGAACAAGTAGCCTTTACCAATGGCCTCTACTGGATGAGCCAGTTTGTTGGTCCAGAGTTGTGAAATTTATACACCAGAAAATTCTCACTTTTGAGAGATGATTAGCTTATTATAAGAATTTTTTAATTTGTATTTTAAAAAGACTTATTTATTTTTGCTTTATGTGCATTAGTGTTTGTGCCTTCATGTGTATCTGTGAGGGTGACAGATCTCCTGGAACTGGAGTTACAGGTGATTGTTAGCTGTCATTGTGGGTGCTGGGAATTGAGCCTGGGTCCTTGAAGAGCATCCAGTGTTCTCAACCCCTGAGCTACCTCTCCAGTGCCTATATTTGTATTTTTTATGTCTGAGGCTGGATCTTGCTCTGTGGAATCTAGGCTGACCTACAATCTTCCTGATTTGGCCTCATAAGTACCGAAACTTGTGCTACCCTTCCCAAATCACTACTGGAGACCAGTTAAATTTGTCCCTATCACTGAAGTCTAGAAAATATCCTTGAAATAGGAAGAACACGTGCAACAACACTAATGCCGAGTGTGACATGGTGTCAAACTGCCGTCTAAAGTGTTGCTTGTACCTATAGGTTAGTGCTCTTGTCCTCTTTGGTCGGAGAGGCTTTTCTTTGCAGTAGGTGATGGGTAATGCAGACTTGAAAGACCCTAAAGTGCAGAGAACAAAGGACTGTTGAGTGCTCACCCTAAACAGGATGTCTATGTCACGCCCTCCAAGGCTCAGCACACAAATAAGAACAGAGGCACAAAGGATGTGGGAGCCAGAGGGTGAGGAGGGCCATGAACTGCTGTCTTCTAGACATGACGGGGCTGTTAAACATAAGGGACACAGCATCTGTGATTACCTGTACAAGACCTGACGTGGCAGGGTTGCTCAACATTCTACAGTGGATGCGGAGTGGCTTACCAGGTCCTAATCCAGCTCTGAGGAGCTGTAGACAATTAAAATTGCTGGGGTGGAACATTTCCTTCTTTGGGCCACTGGTAAGTTTCCCACACTCTAGCAAATACTCCCCCCCCCATGTTTATGCAAGCAACCCTAATTAGTGGGTCATAAAAACATACAAACATAGAAAAAAGAGATGAAAAAGGAGGGGACTTGTTGGGAAGGTAAAAGAGGTTCAGTAGGAGTGGGAAGGGGAAGAGAGGGAGAGAAAATAACCAAAATGTATTCTGTCCATGTATGAAACTGGCAAAGAATCATAAATATAAAAACAAACCAAAAGCAAACCCCCAAGTGGTGAGTTTTAGAGGAAAAAACTGAACTTGTCCAAAAGAGTTCTGGCTTTTGAGCCAGGTGGTGGTGCACACTCAGCACTCAGGAGGCAGAGGCAGGTGGATCTCTGTGAGATCGAGGCCAGCCTGGTCTATAAAGCAAGTTCCAGGACAACCAAGGCTTATACACAAAGAAACCTGGTCTGAAAAAAAAAAGTTCTGACTTTTAACTTAGGACCTTGTAATATTCTGACAGGTAGGAACACTTGCTTTTCTGAAATGGTATTAACGTGAGGGCTTTGGATCATGTGGGATCAGTTTGAGCTCCTGAAGTACTAATGACCAGCGATGAGTCATTTGGGTAGTCAGTTACCCCAATAAAACCATGTATACTAAAGCCCGAGCTCTGTGGATGGTACATTGTCTACAGCGTCTTACACTGTGAGCAGTACCCATGATGCCATGGGTGCTGATAACTGGAAACTCCAATTTGAGGCTCTTCTGACTCCTGTCTTTCCTTTGTGGATGTTAATATGTGTGCTTAGCTGTAGTAAACTATAGCTCTGAGCAGCTTCCAGTAAGTTTGCGAACCCTTTAAACAAATCTGTAAAACTAAGGTATTTTGGACCTTTGAATTTGCAGGGTCAGAATTAAGGGTGACTTTGTAGTATTTGTTTCTCATGGAAGTGTGGTGAAATAATCTTTTTGTATGCTGTGAAGATTTGTCACTTGGATTGGTTTAATAAAACGCTGAACGGGACAATAGCTAGGCAGGATTTGCGGGCAGAGAGGATGCTGGGAAGAAGGGCGGAGTCTCAAGAGTTGCGAGGCAGAGGCAGAGGATGCTGGAAAGTACAGAGTAAAGGTGATAAAACCAGGAGGCAGAAAGTAAATTAATAGAAATGGTTTAATTTAGGTTATAAGTGCTAGCTAGAAACAAGCCTAAGCTATTGGCTGAGCTTTCATGATTAATGATAAGTCTCCATGTTGTCATTTGGGAGCTATCAGGAGGGACAGAAAAATCCTCTTCCATTGAAGAGTGTCACCTTGAATCCCTACTGATCCTTGGGTGTCAACTCCTCCAGAATCACGAGTGACCACAAAGCTGTGTGTGGCACTTACTGGCTGACTTCATAGTAGGCTGGTATTCGGCAGACATGCTCCAACTAGGTCTCTGTTTAGGGGCTGGTCAGATTCTGTGGGAAAAGAAAGACAGTAACACTTTGCTTAAGGTAGGTGGTCTTGTCCATGTTCTGCATGCTGAGAGGATGCAGAAGGGCACAGTTTCCTTTCCTCAGTCTTCTCTTGCTTCCTGTGACTCCGTGGTGCGGAGACCCTCCTCATTTCCTCCGAAGGATGCAATTGTTGGATGAAGCTTGTCTGTTGGTTGTTGTCAGGGAGTTGAGGAGTCGATGCAGATCTCCAAACAGTTCTTTTCCTTTGATTCTCTCTTCCCGTGCCCTGTGACCCCACGTCGACTCCACTTCCAGAAGTGTCTGGTGCATCATTTCCTGGCTTTTGGCTGTCTGCTGCTCAGAACCCAGTCAGTTCTTGACTTTCCTCACTGTCAGAGTAGGATTTAGTTTCTCAGGATGTTAAATCATTTATCACTCAACTGCCTGCTGTCCAAACCTTGGCACCTTGTTTCGTCTCGATTCTTCCCGTCCTTCTGGGTTTGTTTATTCTTTTAAACCCTCGGAGTGGCCTGGGTTGCTTCTATTTGGCTCAGTAAAGGCTGGGTTTAGCGTTTCCCTTGATTTCCTCTAAGATTTTTAGCGCTGGTGCCAGAATCGCTCTCACACTGGCAGAAATGTGTAAAAGAGCTCTTTGCACACAGGGTAGAGCCAGACCTGGAGGGAAGACGAGCTTGGTGTCGAGCAGCCGGAAAGGGGCGGAGCTAGGACTGAGGCCCAGGTCTGGTGTTCTTAGGTCCACCAGCTTCCCAGAGATGAGAAGGAAAAGCTCACCGCAAAGTGCAGCCAAGGCTTTTCAAAGTAGCCTCCAGCTGTTTGGGGATTCTGCTATGTG